TATTTTTGTTTTTAATTGGACACCTGAAAATCAGCTCTGAATTGTAACATACAAAACTCAATAAAACAAATATATTATTTAATTTCAAATGCTTTCATTTGCTTTTATAAATATGGACAATAGTTTCTGAAAGCAAAAAAATTTTCCAATGAAAGATGAATTTTTAATACAATTATGTTATTTTTTAATTATAATAAATTTTTACATTTAATTTGTTAAATTATTATAAAATTAGTTAAAAGCCACATTGGGTTTCCTAAGTCTCCTTATGAGATAGATCTTTTTTTAGTGCGTTGTAAATTGTATCATTTTGACTAATCAGAAGATCCGCAGTAATTGAGAAATGTGATTTTGTGTTTATAATCAGGCTGTAATTATAAAGTATGGAAGACCAACCAGAATATAATTAAGTTGTGTTATTTGAGTTAAGCATTGTTCTCCACTGTTAAGGCCTTTACTTTTGCAAAACACGTGTGGAGAAGTTAATTTGATTTTTCAATCTTAACTGAGAAGGGTACCTACAAGTATCAGTATCATCTTATGAAATTTATATGATCTTATTTTTATATTAATCTCAGTTATGATATTTTTCCATGAATTAAATATCAAAATTAATAAAATGAATGGAAATACAAATAACACAGTAAAATGTAATAAATGTACATAAAATTATAGTATTTTATGTACACTTCTGATAAAATTTCATAAGAAAGGTATCTAATTAATTTATAGGTACCTTTCTTATGAAATTTAATGTCACTTTTAACAGTCTTATTTTAATTTCTTTATAATATATTTTCCATAAAGCATCGTAAACGTAAAGGTGAAAGCTTTCTTTAAGAACTCAGGCTGATAGAAGAAACAGCCTATTAGCCTTCTACCTTTTTTTTTGTCAAGGTACTAGAGGCTCTAATTAACTCTGAATTGGTTAAGCATCTCACATTGCAGGATCTTCTTTCAGGTAAGCAATACGGCTTTTGCTTCTCTGTCAACTGCTGATGTGTTAACAATTATTGCTGAAAGAGTCTATTAAGAATGGTGAAGCTTAGGTTTTTGCTTTGGACCTCTCAAAGGCAAACAGTTTGGCATATTGGTTTTCTTCACAAGTTGATAGATTATTTTGAACTGATTCAGTCTTTATCACATCATGAAATGAATGTTGTCTTGAATAGCCATGCTTCTAGATCCTTTCACATTAATGTAAGTGTCCCCCCAGGGTTCTATCCTGGGGGACACTCACATGGTATCTGTTGTTTCTCATTTTCATCAATGACCCTATTGATTGCATCAGTTCTCAACTCTCTATCTATGCTGAAGGCACAACTATTTACTTTTAAGTTTGATTGGTTTGATAAGGTAAAATTGGCAGCTGATCTTTTTTTTTTTTTTAAAAAAAAAAAAAAAAAAAAAAAAAAGACCTACAATCTTCTGGGGCATGGAGTGGCTTGTTAATTTTAACGCTTCAAAAATGAAACAACTTTCTTTTAATCATCTAAGAGAACCCATTTCACCTTCCTAACATCATGGCTAATGCTAACCTCCAAATAAGTAACTCATTGCGCCTTCTCAGACATGAAGTGGAAAAAGTGTATTGAATCAATTGCTAAGTCTGCAGCTAAGAATGTCTATTCACTATGTCATGTTAGACAATTTTTCTGGCTAAGCATTTAGAGATTCTTGATAAAATCCAAAGAATCTGGTCATGTTTTTTGGTCCTGACATGGCATCTCTGTTTCATGTCACATTCCTACCACCGTAACATAGCTTCCCTGTGCCTTTTCTATAAATACTTTCATAATTTTCTGATGAACTTTCTGCTAAGGTACCTAGACTTCACGAATTTAAGCACAGTACGATATTGGCGGCAAGGTCTCATCATTTTGCAGTTGAAATGGTTAAATGTAACTGTAAGTCCTATGCTAACAATTTCTTCTATTGCACTTCTTGCTTGTGGAACTGTCTTCCAGCTTCTTGCTTCCCAGTCAGCTTTGACCTTGAAACATTTAAATGCAATGTTAAACATTATTTTCTGTCTTATTCTTTTATTGTCCTCTCTCCTTAATAGTAGTTTTTCTCATATTCTCTAACACTCAGTAACCCCATACATCTGAGCAGCTTTATTGCCTTGCTTGGGGGGAAATGATTAAAAAAATGTTATATTATGGTTTATGTGTATGAATGCCGTAGGTAATTGCGATATTTTGGTGAAAGCGACAGTATTCAAACAGATGGGTTGGGTCGGTGATTGAGGCTAGTTAAGTTACAGTTAAGACAAGTGGAAAACCAACCTTTCCCCCCCTTCTCCCATTTTGCCCTTGTGGCACATTTGTACCGAATTATGCATTACATATGTACACCTTTTCTTTCTGCTCTTGAAGTTAGGCTACAACCACTTGATTGTATCTTATTTTTGTGTGAAGACTTTATTTTGTGGATGTTTTACTTTGTTACTGACTTAAAATTGCATGGTCTTGCTCTGTTTCTTATTATTTTGCCCTGCTCTTATTATTATTATTATTGAGAATTTTTCCAATTCCATTTAATCATGCCTGCTTATTCCATAGGGTCCAGTAGGTTTTATTGTTTATGTGTATGTCATGCATCAAAGACCCTGTTACCGATAACTTTTTACTGGGATGTTTTGTGTATGTTAGCTATCTTAAGAATTGCTGATTATTCTTTGGTAATGTCATTGGTTTGATGATCACTTATTAAGCTCAACTTGTCTATTTGATCCTAGTATTGTGACACTCTCTGGTGGTTGCAGCACCAATATGTGACGTCCTCTGGTTGCGACGCCAATATGTGACACTGCGCTGTCGGCCCGTGGTCAACTCCCAGTTGCGGTGCAAAGCTGTAAGTTTTCTTCCACCAGCGTTTGGGGTTGACTCCTTGTCGCTGCCACCAGCCTGTGTCCTGGTCGTTCCCGGTTCGATACCAGCTTTGTCGTTCCCAGCTCACTTCCAACGTCTAGTTACCGAAGTAACTACTTTGATCTCAAGTCTAACCTACCCATGTTGTGCCTTTGATCTTAGGTAGACAAAATCAATCAGGCGTCGGGCTGTAGTGCAAGCTGAATCCGGGGTGAAGGTGATATCGCACAAGCGTAAGTAAAAAAAGCAATAAAACAAAACTCAAGAGGTTCAAATATGTTGAGAAATAACAAATTATCTTTATCCGTCGGTTACATACAGGAGTGTGTTCCTCTCCCAGTCTGTTTCTATGGATTTGTGACACTTTTGCATTTCTTAAGCGAGTTTTGGTATCTTAAGTCGTTCGTCAATATAACTTGCTTTTGGTAGGAAGGCGAAGTCGAAAGGATGTGGAATCTCTGTCAGCTTCTGCAAGGCAACACTCTGACTCTGTCCAACTGAAATTGCCTGGAGACGTTTGTTTATATGGATACCGACCAAAACCCGGTGTGGGGCCTGATGTGGTTTGGGTTCCTCGATAATTCTCAATTCCCAACAAGAATTCTCTTTGTTCTTAGGCCAGGAAAATTAATTACTTCCCATTTTTGGAAGATTAATCACTTTTCATTTCGGGGGTTTCTCCCTTGTCCGTGAGGGAAGGTTGGAGGAGAGTTATCCTCCTAGACTCTTCCTCTCTCACATTGGTATCTCATACCAATCCCCTCAGTGGGTGTTAACAACTTCTCTGCCTTTCTCATACATTCACCTCCGCCTATCACCCATGCTACCACTTGACTAATGATCTCTCGGCAGTGTGGGTGTGGTTAGACAGGCCCTCTTAAAATTATCCAGAATTTTGTTTACAAAATCCTTTTTTTTCTTTTTTCCATTGGCCAAAAAAATTTTTTTCACAAACCCCAGATTGCCAAATAATTCTTATCACATCTTTCTTTAGGGGACACCCAAAATTCATTTAGTCAGGTCTCTCTACTGACTCATCAATCACTTTCAAAACCCGACATCTGGCTTCTCCTCTAAGTCAACTTTTAACTGGGGGACCGTGTTTACCTGAGAATCAAATTCTTTATTTTTTTCATGCCTTAAAATCCTCTTATCACCAGATGCCCATTTTCGACGACTCTGTCTGACATCAACAGTTTGAAAAAGTAATAATAATAATTTCCTCCACGATTTTCTTCCTCATGCCAAAATTCTAACACATACCAGATGATTTCCCTTTGTTGGACCCAGGAATCAAAATTAAATGATATCTCTGAAAGATAACTAATATCGATTCTCTCTGCCTGTATCGCGGTTGTCTCAAGCCGAAATTTTTTTTATGACCGCCATGTGTCGGCCAGCTTTGTTTTTATTTCTGAATTCTGTTTCCCCTGGCACGTCATTCCCTTATAATGACATTTATCAGTTTTGACAGAATCTCATATCTCGCTTTTTCTTATGGATTTTCTGTCTTGTGCGAAAAGTATCTTTCTTTGTAAATAAAATAAAATCCTCTTTTTAACGTCACTCAGTCTATCTTTCGATATAGCTCTTTCTCGCCTTAAGTCTTTCCTGTTTTTAATTTCTATGGTTAATTAAGATAGATAACAAATGAAATGTTTGCAACAGATTTTCTTTTTCATGTTTGCTTGAAATATGTCAAAATCAATCTTTTTTTTTTTCTTTCTTTTTTTTTTTTATTTCATTCTATAAGCATTTACATGATTTGGGAGTAGGTCTAAGTATTGGTCATTTATTTGGGTCTATAAGCATTTATTTGGTAGATGGCTTCTTATGGTGGAGTCTTATTCCTATGCAAGTGGTGCAGTTGGAATATCCCAGAGTCTGTTGGCAGTGACTTTCAATTTCTACAGGTATTAATCAGTGACTAGATTGCACTTCATCTAAAAATGAATTTTAGCCAGGAGGTTGCTTGGAAATTGATCATAGCTCTAGATAAAGAATGCAACACAGAGATCTCTGATTTATGATTTTTAATAATTGATTTTTATTTTTTAAAACAGAAACTGGAACAAATGGCACCTAAAAGACCAGTGCTGAGTAGATGATGACTGCCGAGGTGTGCATATGATGGCAGCATGTAGGAAAAGAGAGGTGACCAGTGCGAGACATGCAGGGACCTTTCTGCCATCCCTGTTTGCCAACAACATCAGCCAGGCCAGCACCAAAGACCACCCAACTACCACTACCAAGCCCAATAACTCCTACCAGTCAATCATTATGCCACCAGCCTTCACAGAGTGTCATATCAATCTTGGCCATGATACTGGTCAAACAGATGATGAAAAACCAAATCAACCTCTTCAAGAATCACAAACATCTCACAATCCCCAGGGCCATGAGCCAGATCTACTAGAAGTGGCTACTGATAGAGTCCCTTCTAGTGCACTGCTGTATTCTTCATCCCAGCCAACACTGGACACATCCCCCTCTTCATCATCCTCTTCTACCCATGCTATTATGGGGATGGATCCATTGACCAGTCAGGAGGTGACCAGTGGTCTGCTACAGACAGAAAGTGAGTTGGATGTTGGAAACATTTCTGACAGAGATTATTCTGATGTCAAAGGTTATTTTTATTTTTCTTCTTTATCTGTTTTGATCTTAAGGAGAAAAGTAAGAAAAAATATAAGTTGCTTGATTTCTTGCTTAAATTTGTATTAATATTTGTTTTTGTTAATTATAACAATTCTTTCAGCAGTACTTGTCTTATTAATTAGTACATATACGTGTACCTATGTTTTGGTGTGCAACTTAAGTTTTGCTGGATTACCAGCTCATTGTGCACAAAGTCTTATGTTGCTAAGAGTAAACAAATGGCTTATGGGAGGAAATGTGGCCCAAAAATAAAATTGGACAAAAAGTGTAGTAAATGCAATGCAGGTGAGTTATATTTTTTAAAAAACTAGAAAAATGTAGATTAAAAAAAAAAAAAAAAATAATAATCATAATAATAAAAAATAAAGATTACAAATTTAAAATTAAAGATGCTGTTTTTGCATAGTCAAGATAATGTTAAGGGTTAAAGGGTGGTAAGCTGGTAAGTTACTTAAGTTTTAGTAAGTTAAAAACTAAATAATAAAAAAAGAGTGTACTAATTAATATCTTTGTTTTGTCTAATCACATTGGACATTATTGTTTGCACATCATGTATAAATTTGATGACTATCTGCTTGCTCGCGTATGCACACCAGCACGCATGTAAACACTTGCTTATATCTGGTTGTTTGATTCATCTCTTCCTCTAAAATCTATATATATATATATATATATATATATGGTGCAATGGATAAGTAGTTGTCTAAATTATGCAAATATGAAAATAACACTGATATCTTATTCTAACATATATTTACCAAAATTACACAATAATATCTTGAAATACTAAAGAGCAAATTTATTCAATAAAATCAACATTGGCTTACCCCATGGCCTCCAGACAACATTGGAATCTCCTGCGGCTTTTCTGGATTGTCTCCTTGTTTAATTTGTTGAATGTTGCCATAATCCTTACCTTCAGTTCATCTTTGGTGTTACAAGAGTTTTGTTGGTCTTGCTCTCAACAGTGCCCCACACATAATAATCAAGAAGGCTTCAGTCTGGGGGGTTAGATGGCCAAATGTAATGGGTGATATGGTCACAGATATTGTCTGATAGCCGTGACTGGATTCTCCTGCCTGTGGGGCATGGTGCAGAGTCCTGTTGCCAGACATAGGGTCTTCTAGCAGCCACTCTTGAATTAGGGCAGCACTACTTTTTCTTTTTTTTTTTTTTTTTATCATTTTACCCCAAACAAGGCAGGAGTGCCAGTAGTATGCAGGAGATTACAGAGAGTGAAAATGAGAGAATAGACTAGGTATAGAGGGGATTGAGGAAAGGATAAAAGATGGACAGGGTTAAGGCAACAGAAGATGGTGATTGATGTATTTAAAGTTTTGAAGATTGTAGTTATTGGGGAAGCAAGTAAGTGGAAGGGAGTTCAACTGTTGGGAAGTGTGAGAAAAGAAAACTTTTGGAGTAGAAGTGGTGGTTACATTTAACTATTTCAACAGTAAAAAGGTGGGCCCTAGATGCCAATTTAGTAGCATACTTAAATTCATGTAGTCTGGGCACTAGGGAAGAAAACCCACTGGAGCAGTTGCCATGAAAATATTTGTAGAAAAGACAGAAGGAAGCCATGCTACGTTGGTGAGAAAGTGACTGAAGTTGAGATGCCGAAAGTCAGGATTGATTAGATTGTAGATCCTTCTTTGGATTTTGTGAAGAATCTCTAGATGTACAGCAGGAGCATCAGAGCAGATATGGCAACAGTATTCAATGCATGGATGAATAGTAGATTTGTAAATGTGCAAGATGGATTCTGATGAGAAAAACCTTCTGGCATGACAGGATGAACTGACTTTCCTTGCAGTAGATGCAGCTATTGATTCAATGTAGTTCCACTTGAAGTCAGTTGAAAATGTGAGGCCAAGAAGGTGCAGTGAGACACTCTCCTGGAGTTCAGAATCAGCCATACTGATGGTGGGCAGGGAAGTTTCTCTATGGTGGTTAAATGAGAGCAGTTTAGTTTTGGACATATTCAAATTACAAGCCATTTTCTGTCCCAATTAACCACTGATTGGAGCTCCTTTTCAAGAGCAGTGGTCAGGTTAACTTTGTCAGTTCTGATGGTATTTTTTTAGGATGACTGCTGATATCCCATCACCTCCACTTGCCTTATGGGAGAAATTTAGAAATGATATCTGGGACCAGTTATGGGCTTATGCGCATATCACTTAGTGAGGAAATCAGGTGTGGGTACTCCAGATGAGTTGAATGTTGAGTTGGAAGAGAATTTTCAAGCAAAACATTCCATATTATCAGTTGCATATATGAGGACTTCAAATTGACTAAATATGGGAGGGATTGAGGATTTGCTGTTGTTCAGCACATTCTTGCAGTTTCGCCAATAATCTCTCTGTGCACTCGGCAAAAACAATGTGCATGTGCAAAATTAAAAATATAAAATACTGACAACTTACCCATCACACTATATATATATATATATACACACACACACACACACACACGGTAATATCAATCAAAAGTATGAATGTAGGTCATTTAAAATCCAACTGACACCAATGGCTCTAATACACTCTCCCCACTACACATACATATGTACATACATACATATATATATATATATATATATATATATATATATATATATATATATATATATATATATTACAATGAATCATTCATACAAAAAGTAGATTAGTAAAGTTAATGATATAAAATGGCGAAATCTCTTCGCTAACAAAATTTTAAAGGTGCATCAACCTACAAATCACTCAATAAATGTTATGATCGTTGTTTTTTAAAATTATAAGCTGTATAAGGTCTTTCTTTAATACACAAGTACTTTTGACTGTACATTGAGTCATCTTCAGGCATAGAAATTATTTTGTTTCTGGTAAAATTCAGGTAGCATCCGAGATGAAAAATTTTAATGTGAATCGAAATATGTTTTTTTTTTTTTTTTTTTTTTTTTAAATGTGTTATTGATAACGGATACAAACTTTTGAAGCATGCAGTTGCAACGCTAAGCTCGAATTTTTTGTTTTTTGAAAATTTAACAAAAAAATATTCTCAAATTAGTAAAAAACACACTCTTAAATTTTCAAAAAAAAAAAAAAAATGGAGCCTTGGACATTTACTTGAAGACGTGATGGTGTAGGGCTGCTTTGACTGCAACAAAAAGAGTCTTCTGGTTTTTGTCGAATCAGGTGTTAAACTCAACTGAAAAATTATGTGAAGGACATAATTGAGCTAACGCTGTTACCATGAGCTAAAAAAACATTTAAAAAAAAAACCAATGTTAGTCATTCCGGCAAGATTCAGTATTCTCTCATGGGGCCAAAACAACTACAGTGGTTAGCAACCCATGTTCCTCACTTCATCTCTAGACCTGAATCCTCTTGACTAAAGCATCTTAGAAGACAAGGTTTCTGCTACACCACACCATCACAGGTTGGAGTCTCTGAAGGCAAAACTCTTGAATAAATGGGACAAATCCCCTAATGTGTTATCCATGTCTCATTCACTTAGTGTCTTCAGCAAGTTATTGATGCAGAAGGAGAGCATATTGAATAGATAGTATATCAAATAAGTTTATGAACATTTAGTTTTTGTTTCCACTTTGTAAAATGTTTACAAATTGTTTTGTTTATTAAAGATGGACAAAAACCTTCGTAATGCTAATTATTGACCACCTTGTGTGTGTGTAACATGTATGTATGTAGAAAAAATCATTAAACACTCCTAAAACTCACTATTTTTTTGATAACGAAGATGATGCATGGATAAAGAAAAAAGGAACCTTTGACATTACAATGGGAAGCTTTGATGGTGCAGAACTTGTGAGCATATAGGTATACATTTGACTCAAGTAAATTTTAAATGAAAGCATTATCACCTCTATCATCTCTTTTTCTCATTGAAATGAAACAACATCTTTGATATGTTTTTTTCTGTTTTCTGATTGAAAAGGAATATTTCATTATGAGGTGATGGCAGAGCATCATTTATGTACAAGCAGAATTATAATATGATGATGATAATTTAAAAAATTGCCATTTACTGTTTGATATTTTCATTTTTCTGTTTGTTTATTATTTTGCAGTTTGTGTACCTGATACCCTTGGCGCTGAAACAGTTGTAGAAACCAGTTCATTAGATGGGAAATTTTTAAATGCCTCGCTGCCAACCAAGCGGGTTTCTCAGGCTGTTTTGGCATCAAAAGGGAACATAGATACCAATTATCTTATGTTGGAAGAGGATGGTAAGCCAGGCAGCAAAGTCATCCAGGCTGAAGACTTGGTTGAAATTTTTGAGACACAAACATTGCAAGCATTCTTGGCTCAAAAAGATTCTGCAATTACTTCTCACTCCAATTCCACTGAAAAGTAAGATTTTTTCTTTTAGATGTATGTGTTCATGTATGTTGGTTGACTACCGTGGTATGAATGTCTGTGTGTCAGTCGTCTTTAATGAAACTTGTATAAAAGAGGAATTGCTGCCCAAATACACAATTATTAAAATACATGACCCGATGGCTAATAAGGAAAGTAATTACCTTGTCACTTGTCTTTAATACAATTATATATACATTTAAAAAAAAACAAAAAAACTTGGTTTTTAGATTTACTTATGAACTTAGCCAAAAAATAAACTCTCATTCTTAGGCGTTCACATAGAATCCAATAGTAACACATTCACCTTTTTGTTATATAAAAAAAACTTATAAAGACTCTTGGATACGAAATAGGTTCCATAAAAATTTCCATATGAGAGCACCTGAGAATTCCTTTCATCCATTATTTTTTAAAGAACTCTGCAACATAAAACATGCTGGTTCATAATGGCTTCACAAACCACCTTATAAATAATCAAGTTAGATTATTTCTTTCTAAAGTAAGCAATAGTAAGACTGAACATAAAGAAAAAAAAACATTATTAACATTTTCTATAAAACTCAAATGCACATTAACTATAAGGAGGACAAATTTTTCCTTAGAAGAAAATATCTGTATATATACTAATACAAGTAAAAGGTTTGTCTCGTAGCGGATTAATGTTACCTTCAGCATCCCAAGTCCAGAATTTGATAGACAGACCTTACGAGAATTACTCCATCTGCTTGTTTGGGGGTGGGTATCAGCAATTGACTGCTTATACTTTTCAATTTTTCTGTTTTCTATCCACTCTCCATTGGAGGAAATTTTTTTTTTTCATAGTGCATGTGTGCATACACATGCACCCATGCATGTACATGTAAAATGTTTATTTGTTGTTTTCATTGTGTTTTTTTTTTTTTTTTCATTTCACACTTACTGCTTAACTATATCTCGCTTTTTCCTCCTTTCTTTCAATTGTAGCCATTTTGACTTCTGGTTTTATAGACATATATGCGCGCACACACACTTCATCTAAGAAAATCAAACAGTTTAAAAATGCTGAGAAGTATGTTTTCCATAATTACCTTTGTATATGATAAATTTCCAGCCTGCAATTATATTAAAATCAAATGTAAGCTCGAATATCGTCTTGGAACTTGAAGATGTGCCGAATTTTATTGCTATTTTGATCCTGATTCTTTGCTACTTTCCATCAACATGGCTGACACTAACCTCCTTCATGAGAGTGGCAAATTTCCCTTCTTGGGCTTACATAATTGATTGACATGAAGAGGAAAGATTATATTGAATCCATTGCTTGATCTGCTGCTAAGAAATTTAGTTCACTGTGTCATGCTTAACAATTTTTCTCTCCTGAATCTATCTGACATTTATAAGTCTACCATTTGTCCTTGTTTTGAATATTTTAAGCCACATATGCTCTGGTGTTCCTGGCCTATTTTATTGGCTAGGAAGAAATCCCGACATGCATTGTGTACTTCTGCTTACAAATTGGGGGGGGGGACAGTTATTCTCCGTGGGGATTGGGACCAACAAGAACAAAATGGTGGCATCCATGAGAAATCACAATCTGTGTCTTTATAGTCATTTGTGACTGAATAAACTCTTGGCGAGTTCTATGACGATAAAATAACCATAGAAATCTCCTTATCATGTCATTAAATAGTTGAGCTTAATAATTTTAATACAATATTGCAATAACAATCTTAAATATGAATGCTGGTCATTACTTTAAGAAGTAAGAGGGTACAAATGAGAAGATTTGAAATTGACAACTTTTCTATTTCACTGAAACCAACATTAAACACTTCTGTCTTTCTTTCATTTTCTCACTGAAACCAAGTAGTGTCTCTGATATATCTTTTCCATCTTTCCATGCAATCAAACTGGAATAGTCTATTGAGTTATTGGCAGGGCATAATGGTTGTGCTAAGGAAGGGGCAAGCAGAATTATAATATGATGATAATAAAAGCTTTCACCTACAAGCCATGGCTGCTATTATTAGCCAATGCTGATACATATATTTTTTGGGACACCTGGTATATAAAAGTGGACACTGAGGTCAGGTGACAGTCTGTTTCATGCTTGAATGTAATGTTCATGGCCTGAAGATTGTATTCAAGGATTAAACAGACTGTCGTCACTCGGTATTAACATCACTGTTCACCTTTACATTTACACATGCTCTCTCGGATATTGAGCACTTTTACCCCATAAATATTGCATATCTCATATATATATATATATATATATATATATACACATACACACACACAAAATTGACATCATTTAAAAAGTGAATATCTGAGTAACATGTCCCAGGCAAACATGATTCAATAGGCTTTATGTTGAACAATAAAATATTTATTTATCAAAATTTGAACAAGATATCTAAAGGGATGTAGATTTTATAACCAATTTCCCAAAGCTTCACAAATGTTCAATATGTGAACTACCTGTCACGCAACGCACATCAAGTTAGTAGTCCAGCTCCTGCCAAACCTGCTGTAGCATGTTTTGAGTAACATTCTCTAGCACCTCAATGATTCTCTGCTTAAGTTTATGTTTGTAGGAAGAGAGTGGTGGTAGGGAGGAAAGACTTGTCCTTTCACATCACCCCTTAGAAAAAAAATCACAAGGTCTCAAGTTAGGTGAACATGATGGACATTTCAACAGAATATTATCATTATCACTGGCATGTCTGATCCATCTTCCTGGTAGGTTTTTATTGAGATAAGTTCGCACAGTTCGCTTCCAGTGAGGTTGAGCCCCATTCTGTTAAAAAAAAAATGAAGTGTCTATGCTCATTAGCAATGAGCTCCTCAAATAACCAGTTCTGCAGCATTTGCAGATAAATATTGCTGGTCACGTTTCCCTCAAAGAAAAATGGTCCATAAAGACGAAAAAAAATAAGCATTCAATTTTGTTCGTTTTTACACACTTTGTTAAAATTTGAGATGATTTGAGCCAGTATTGGCTGTTATTAGACTACAAAATGATGTCAATTTTTTGGGGGACACACTGTATAGTGATTTTCTAAGTATCACTTAGATGTGGCACAAGGCCGAAATTATGGGGCACCCAGTGAGGATCGAACTCACTATTCAGGCATAACTGATTTAGGGAGACAAGCTTGCTGACCATTACACCGTCCTGTGGTGCCCTAAATGATTTTTTAAGTGTAGCTTAGATGTGGCACGAGGCCAAAAGTATGGGGCACCCGCTGAGGATTGAACTCACTGCTAGTCGTAATTGCTCTAGCGAGACAAGCTTGCTAACATAACACCACGCCGAGGTGCCCGAGACACATTGTATTTAATTATTAAGTATTACATACAGCCATTGGGTTAAGTCTCTTGTTGCAAATTAATTTCCCCAGAAAATAAAACTCCTGATTCCAATTTTTGTTTTTTTTTTCCCAGAAACAGTTTAAACTATGTTGGTGGAGAAGCTCCAATGACGAAAGGTATGTCTATTGTTTACGTTGGAGATGAAGGTATGCAGCTTGTACCAACAGATACAATTGAAGAAGAAGAAGAAGAAGAAGAATGCAATTTGCCTTCAAAAGATGTGATGAAACGAGAACGAGACAGAATTAAAAAAAGAGAACAAAGGGCCAATCCTATGTACAGGTAATTATACTATTTTTTCTATTTTTATGTTGCAAATAAAAAAAAACTTTCTAATAATTTTATGAGGTCTTCTCAAAAAGTATCGACACTAGTGCTATAAAAATAAAACTCCAACATATCTTATACTGGTTATGATGATAAACTACATCTGCCAGCAAGGCCCTGATTGGGAGGTTTTGAGAATCATGGAACCACCTATTAATTGCTGGTGTTCCCAGGTCCATTCTGACCTGGGATTGTAGCACCTTTTAGGGCCCCAGCTATAGGCAAGTAGTGAATCCCCCAAACTGGGATCAAAACATGAAAATATAAAAATAAATTAGACAAAATTACCAGCAATACATTATTTGGAAAAGAAGATAGTGTAATTTTCTAGGGATCAAACTCAATGATAATTTATTTTTGCTAATTATTTTCTCTTCAACTCAACAAGAATTCTGTCAGTTATTTTGCATCTGTTGGTTACTAATAAGTTTGACTCTGAACACTGATGTAATTCTTTTCTGTTCACAGAGAAAAAGAAAAGGAGAAAGCCAAGGCACGTATGCGAATGATGCGGGCTGACCCAAACTATCGAGAACGGGAGAGGCGACGTGACCGTATCCGTCGAAAGATTTCTCGTCAGCAAAACAACGAGCTGCGTCAGAAGGAAAAAGACAGAGACAAAGAATATAAACGTCTACATCGCAACCTTCCATTGAATAGTGTTATGACTGAAGTAGAGATAGGGACAAATGATGATAGTGGGATGGGGACCAGCGCCAGCATTGGCACAAGCATTGGATCCGGTGGCACAAAGACGGTTTTGGAGCTTCACCCTCAGCACTTTGCCTTACGACACTCTGTGCTGGCGTCGGATGTTGCGCAGCTTGGTGGTATGGATGACGGGGGCAAGGTGGTCGGTCATGTTTCAGATGGCAGCATTGGTCCGGCCGACTTGAACTGCATGACACTAAGTGATGCCAGGGCAGAGGCTGTCCTCACCTGCCCGGTCACTCTACAATACACACTGACCACAGATGGACACCGGATCATGACGTGAAAAGATCTGTGACACTGACCAGCTGCATGCTGCAACCATTGCTACCATCACCATCACCACCTGTACCCCACCCTGCCACTGCTGTTGCTGCTGCTACTATTACTACTACTGCGATAATGTTTACTAGGAAAAAGCCACTCCCTTTCACTTTATCTGGCATTCCTGTTTGAGTTGGTTGTGCTTTAAAAGAAATTATTCTATATTTTATTAGTTATATCTCATCATGCTATGATTTTTTTTTCCATCCCTGTCTTTGTTGTTATATAAACCTACCCATTCGCTAATCTTTCTCAGCTGAATATAACCTCTATCAAAAAGACTGAAATAATTTTATATATTTATAATATTATTGGTGTTATTCTATACTTCTAAAATCTCCGCCTAAAATTCTGAACTTTTATTTACTATTTATTTACCTTTTTTTTTTTGCTCCACAATAAGAGTAGATATGTTCACCTATTGTCTGTCTCACACTCCTCCACAGACTTTTGAACAGGAGTAGAGGTTTATCCCTTGTTTCCTGTTTACGATTGAGTTTCCAGTTCCTTCTAAATTCTTTCTCTTACACTTATAGTGACCCCTTGTGTCTTGGTGGCATTATAACCTAGCTTGGAGTGATGTCTCTTACTCTGTAACCCTCTACCTTGAGTAGTTCTTGGGCCTTGTACAGGGTGAACATCATTGTACAAAAAGAAAATGACTTCTGAGATGAAGTATACTTCCATGATTGAAATTGATTAAGGTATTCAAGCTTCTCGGATATGAAATTCCAATTTAAGTTACTTCAGTTGCATTTCTTTATCCAAACTTCAAATGTTTAGAAGATAACCACCTAGCAAGGGATGATCCAGAATTTTCAGCAGGTTGGGGCCCAAATGGAAAAATTTATTTAGGGGAAAATTGACAAGAGTAAAGAGTAAAAGAGAATCAAAGTAATTTATTACAAGACAACTAAAAAATATATAAAGAATAACATTGAAGACATTTTCCTTATTTTAGATGAAAAACAAAATTTTTTTTTTCAAGGCTAATTTATGATTTTCTTCCTTTTAAGATATCTTTTATCTAGGAAATTTTAATTGTGCTTTGACCAGTAATAAGTGAGCCATAGCATCCCAAGTACCTAAGCTTGTCCAGAATGTTGAACTAAAAAAACCCAGTAACATAAAGAAAGAAGTAAAAATATAATAATTACCAATGTTTTACTGTACTTTGCTTTTTTTTTTTTTTTTTTGCATATGTTTAATTTTTATGATAAAATAATTTTGAAACTAAAAAGTACACATTGAAACATCATTGATGTTTTAACAAATGAAACTATTTAAAACTAGTGGATGTTATCTTCACCTGAGGAAGACTGGAAAATGAACCAGCTGAAATTTTGTGGGGGTGGATAACAACAATGACAAGGATAATAGATTTAAAAAATATCATTGAATGATAAATAACCCATGTCAAAATTCCAAAAAGTTGTTGTAATTTATTTTTACACATACAATTAAGGTAGAAAATAATTGGTAGAAGTTTTTAAGAAAAAGACATTTGTGATTCCCTTTGACATATCCTGTTTTTTTTCTTTAATCTGGAAAGGTTTTATTTATTTATTATAGACTTTCAAATTTGTCTTAAGAGTGTGGAATAGATTTAGTTTAACCTTAAGAATCCAAGAGAAAAAATATTTTTCTTAAATCTATTTTTCTCAAGGTTTTGCATCCTAATTACTTTGGAGCAACTATTGAGATATCTTTGTCCTGGTTCTTTTTACTTTGGCACTGAATTAGTGACTCAAGACAATTTAGAGATGGTGAATAAAACAGTAAAAGCAATGAATGTTCAGAGGTCACTGACAAGATATTTTGTTACAACACAAAAATATCCTGGTGCCAAGAGGATTAAACTGCTTTTTATTTCTATTTATTTATTTAATTTATTTTTGTGTGTGTGTGTGTGTGTGTGCCAAGAAAAAGAAGTCTTTTATAATCAATACTAAGAAATTAAAAAAAAAAAATGTTAGTTCTGACTTTACATTTTTTCATTATCTTTTATGACAACATTTTCTGAAAATTTGTGTTTTCAGATGACTACATTTTCCACTGCAAAACATGTCACCAGCAAAACTTTTAGAACTATTAAGCTAAAATTGAAGTAAAATGAAAGCAAATTACTTTTTTAAATGTTTTAGTGGAAGCAACAAAAACTTATATTTAAACCACAAAGAAAATTAATGAAAACAATTATAAAAAAAAATATAATAAATAGCAAAGTAAAAACTAACGATTTAAACAGAACATTCTTCCTGTTAACACAGGGAAGATTTGACTGCTGAGATAAGGTTTATTCACTATTATTAGTCTTTTTGAATTCTGAAAATTTTGTGACTATCATCTGAAATTATTCTGTTGCCATGGTAACATGATGCTTGCTTTAAGTGCCCCACCCCTCCTGTATAATGTGCAGTTATTTTTTGGTGCTAAATTTGATTTTTAAAAAGTGTAATATACCATGAAATATGGTATTTCAATAAATTAAAGAATGAAAAAAAAACCCACATTGCAGTAAAGTATGCAATTCTTAGTCTTGAACCTAAAGTCAAACCAGCCATTTGTTCTTAAAGGGCATGATATTTGTCATCTCTGATGCTTATATCCATTTCTTTACTACTTAATGTCTTTGTAAAGATAGGTTAATGAATTATTGACTTTCTCTCTTGAATTCCTTTTATAGATATTTACTCGATACAAGTCTGTCTAGCATAAGCCTTCAGATAGAGAGGAAATTATGGTGAGAAGATTACCTCTCACTAATCTGCCATGTGGAAATTGCCTGCCTTCCTTGAAACTCTGGGCTTGAAGAACTGATCACTGATGCTTGTAGGAAATATACAGCCTATTTTAGCTACCAGGCAGGTCATAGGGACATTTCAGTGACATTACAAACAGAAATTATTTAGTTGCAACTTGATTAACTGTCAATGCAAGAATGTATGAATTGGCATCACATGAATGAATCAGTTTATGCACTGATTACAGTTTGTTTATTATTCAGTGTTCAGAAATTCATGGTAAGATATATTTATTAGAATTTATGGTTATTGTGAAGACATCTTTCTGGTTAAAGTTTTTATCCTTTAACTAGTTGTATCAAATAATTTAAGTAAAGCACTTAAAATAAGTGGCAATATTTAACATTCAGACCCATAAACTCAAAAGGACGTTTTTTTTCTCTTGTCACTTACTGCTATTACTATATACTGTCTTACCTCCCTTGGTAATATTTATTGTTTTAAAAAGCTATGTTTAGAATTTTAATAACAACAGAAATGTTATACTCTATTTAGCTGTTATATTATTTGTTTATAAGATTAATTTTACATTTGCAAGATAATAAAAATGTGATCCAACTACATTGTAATATTTCTTATTTACCATATATAAATATGAAAAATCTTTTTATTCAAAAATGTTTGAAGTATAAAACAAGAAAATTTAAATAAACATGATTTTTCTAGACATACATTTTCTTAGATTATTTCTTATTTTAATTTTCCATTTAAAAATTTTTTTTTCAAGGCTCAAGGATGCTTAATAGAAATAGCTGTTAAAAATTACACACCTGTTGTAATTATACACAAAGAAAACCTTGTTCACCCAATGAATACAGGAGATACACACTCAAAATATTAAGTGTTTGTGATCTTGCCTAAAATTAAAAGAATATTTGATTCAGAAAGAAGAGATGCTTTTAAGTGTATGAATTTATGTAGCAAGTGCTAATAAGAGATTCTGGGGAAAGGCACTTTTTCAAAGTTTATAATTACAGTTAAGTGTTTATTTGAATTTTCTTGTTCAGATATTTTATAAATAAAAAAAAAATTTTTTTCATATTTATTTCCTCATAAAATGGGAAATAATTTCATTATAGTTGGTTCACATATTTTTATAATTTTGTAAATTTTTATAAATTTATGAATAATAAATTGTTTTCATATTTCTTTGTAAAATGGTAATAAATATTGCATTATCAAAGATTCACATATATTTAGTTGTTAGATTGTAAATAAACAATCTAACAACTAAATAGTGTGTAACATTTTTGTTATTGAAATTCTAAATATAGTTTTTAAAAGAATAAACATTTTACTGTATACTAAAGGACATATACATTACTTGTGGTAGCAAGAGAAATCTTTTTTAGTGATCAAAAATGAAATGTCACTCTCTGAATTATCTCCCTTTTAGCTTTAAACCTTTTACAGATCAGTTCTGTAAAGGTTTAATGGATGTGTAACCAGTATTTTAACAAGGGAAGGATATGGTTAAGTTTGTTAATATTTCAATGTTTATTTCCATCATCCTCAGAACATTTTTCAATTTAAAGATTTTTTTTTTAAAGATGCAGGAAATGTATTTTTTATTAAGTGGGGAAGCATAGATGTTTTTTCTTAAATACCAAGCCAGAATTTTTTTTCTCCCCACCCAAAAAAAACAGTAACAGATAAACTGAATGATGTGATTCTTTCTTTCTTTCCTTTTTTTTTTTCTTCTCTCTCTCTCTATCTCTCTCTCTCTGGAATGAGTTAATGAATGTCCAGTTTGATGCAATGGATATCTTTGTGAAATGTCCAAAAAAGAAGGGGAACTGTGGTGTATGATGTCAGACTTGAGACAACCATCATTATTATTATTATTACTAAAATCTGCCTTTTCCCAAATGAGACTTTTCTTTTAAGTTTAAATTAAAAAAAAAAAACAAAAAACAAGAGACAAAAAAAAAAAGGAAAAAAGACAAATATCATACTTGATGAATTTCTTTTTTTGTTCCCAGTTAATCTGCTATTGGGTTGGCACAAGATGATGGTTGTCAGGTGGATGCATTTTGACAATACCTGGATTATGTGTTTGGATATTTGCCTTTGTCTATAAAGATGAAAAACTGACATCAGTTGATGAAAAATACAAAACAAATTTTAAAAATAAAGTAAAAACAGAAGTTGAAAAACA